CTGGGCTGTTACTAGAATGGAACAATGTGCTGGAGAACATCCACTCTGAAGGACTTAAGACGGTTTGGGTTGGAAAACAGCAGTTTTGAATCAAAGCTAGAAAATACAGGCTTGGGTGCATTTGCAATGAGTGGGGAGCGGGAGGAAGCTGTCGTCCATTCCTGCACTCAGGAAGCAGTGAACAGCCTACACTGACAATGGGCCAAGCAGAAAGTGAGGATCTGATTTTATACTCATGATATCATTTCAGCATGTGGCAGTACCTGGCTGACCTATTTGGGTTCAGAAACTACACAAGGTCAGGCTAGGTTAGCACTTGCATGAAAAATTAATAGGGATTCCCAGGGCTTTAGATTAGATTGGGTAGTTGAAAAACACCCCAGAAGACTATGATAAACCACTTTTTTATTGTTGCCAAGAGGCCTACATGTAGCTTGATTTTAATTGCATTAATTTTGTTATGTTTCAGATTCTGTATTTTTACTTGTTGCAGGCTGGAAATTGGAATAAGCAGGAAAGTGGAGAATAAATTCAATAATAAATAATCCCCCCCCCCAACTGCTATTTTCTGCTACCCCTTTTGCCATCACATCCACCTGGCTAAAATTTACAGGACTATCGGGCAATTTTATCATCCTAGATTATGCTGTTATAACCTGACGTTTTAAAAAAAAAGTTTTTAAAACACATCTCATTCATTCCCTCCTCAAATGAACAACAGAAGCCCAGTGCAGCCAAACAGATCAGAAACTTCTTCAGCATCCCAGATGCAGTCCAACTCTAAGCTTCTTCCGTGTCTGGAAATGGCCTGGGTAAACCACATGCAAAGCTTATCAGATTTCAGCTTTATAGATAGGCCTTTCTCCTCATTCTAGCCTTTCCTGTCACATGAGCTTGGACAGGAAAAGAAACATTTTCTGCAAGGTTGACTAGAAGGCTTGGCCTAATCCAAAAAAGAAACCGGGCTCTCTACTGATGTTACAGTATGTATTCATACTGTAAAATGGCAAGCTATTGCTGACTAATGAAGAGCTTTTTAAACAACCAGATATCTCTAAGAAAAACCATTTGCCCCCTGCAGAAAACAGTTGTAGAGTGCAAATACCAAGGGGTGGAGATTCTGCTAAAATCTAAGGAACTGCATAACAAGTGACTGGAGAAGAGACTTGGCTTTAATGGGCATTTGGGGAAAAAAATTCAAAGTTTTCTTGATTTAGAGATAATTATAAACTGATTTGCTTCTTGTTGCAACAAAATTAATAAGGCAGATAAAATCACATATATATAGATGTATTTAATGCAAAGTAAAATTCATAGTTTCTTGTTAAGAGAATCTTGGTTGCCATCTCTTCATTCCCCTAAGCTAATTGTTCTAGAGTCATTATTGTGTTCGGCCACAGCTCCATATATGACAGATATTGGGGCCCATATATGTATATTTAACAGGAACAGTTGCTTTACCTCCAGCATTTGGAGTAGAGATCAGAAGAACAATTTCTTAAGCACTGGTAGAATCCATACTGCTACTCACATTTCAATAGAGATGCAATTTATCAGGTGTCAAGAGTGACATTTTCCCCAGTAAGCATTCTTTTGGGGTTTTTTTAATATTCTTTTCAGAGCAAACATTTGTTCTAGAATGCACTAGCTTTTAAACATTTTACATATATATAAAACACTTCATAATGCTTCTTCCCAAATTGTGTTTCTGAGTGGCAAAAAAGAGACCCAAAAGCTACAACCAGTTACAAGAAATGAAACAATGTTCTTCATAACTAGAAAATAGCTAGAGATTATCTTGCATTGTAGCATTAGCAATCTAATTGAGCTTTCTTTCTACTGAAGACTGATAAAAGTTTTTTTAATATAAAACAACATAGGACAGGGACACGCTTAAGAAAACTGCTTATCTAAGGCAGCAGTCCTATACTGTACCTACTGACTTGAGAATAAGCCCAACAGAAAACGATAGGGCTTAGTTCTGAGTAAATAGGTAAAGGGTTGCAAAATGCTGAGCAAGATGGAAGGAAAAGAGAAGAGGACATCCAGCAGCAAGATGGGTGGACTCAGCTATAGTGGTGATGGGTGCACTATTGGAAGACTTGAAGGATCAGGTTAAGGACGGATCGTCATGGAGAAAATCTACGTGGTCACTAAGAGTCGACACTGACTTGATGGTACCTAATCAGTGAAAAAACACTGTAATCATGGAATCAGGCTTACTAATTTATAAAGTAGCAGAGTCCATAGAAATGCTTAATAACATTCCTGCTGCTGCTGCTGTTCTAAATGGAGATTTGCAGCCCTTTCATGTACGAACAAACTGTCATTTGCACTGATAAAAAACAAAAACCTTTCTCATGAGCTTCTGCAATCCCATGTACAGCTACAAGGGAATAAGCCTTATAACTTGAATTCTGCAGTGGTTATTTCCAAGTCATGATGCATAAAATTGGATTGCTTGTATCACTCCTTAGATGCACACAATGTGTATATGCTCACAAATTTTGATCAATGTGGGGAAATGTAGCCTTATTAAATTTAACCTTGGAATGCATTATATTTAATATATGGGAATTTCTTACAGAACACATGGAGTAGCATTGCTCAAACTATTCCACTTTGTTTGTAGGAACAATTTAGAATAAAATTGAGATTAAGAATAGATATTGCTGAGTTATCTATAAAACTTTGTTGTTGTTGTTGTTCAAATCAGCGTTGACTCCTGGTGACTGCCTGGATAAGTTCCTAGTTTTTTTGGCAACATTTTCAGAAGTGGTTTGCCCTTACCTTCTTCCTAGGACTGAGACAGAATAACTAGCCCAAAGACACTCAGTTGGCCATGTGGCTAAGGCAGGACTAGAACTCACAGTCTCTTGGTTTCTAGCTTGGTATCTTAAACCACCACACCAAACTGGCTCTCTCTACAAAACAAAGCAACTTCATATGGTAGAATATTATGCTTGCTTCCCTCTCCTGTAGTTCCTTTAATATTTTTAGAATTTATAACACTTGTATCAAGAGGTTTCAAACTCAAACTAAAAAGAAAGAGAGAAAGTAGGCATCCTTGATGTGTACTACATATTAGGAGAGTACACACCACAAATTATAATTTGTGATTAAATCATCCCAGTTCAATGTAAAAAATTTAGAAGAGCCCTGAAATTTATTTATATAAACATTTATACCCTACTTCCTAAGACCCAAAGTGATTTGCAAAGAAAAGAAAACAACCAAATAGATTAAAAGAGAACCATTCAATCCCAACTACACTAAGGCAAACCGTCTACGATCAGTACCGAACACCCTGTAGAAAAAGAAGCTCTTCAATGCTTTCTTGAAGGCTAAGTAATTAGGGGCAATCCCTATCTCAAGAGGGCAGGTGTTCACCAGGGGAAGCTGCTTGTCTCCCATGCATAATCTGGCTAGAAATGAAGCTGGTTTAAGAAATTCCTTTCTGGATTTCAAGCTGTTCTTCCACTTTGGCTATGGGGGTGGACTAATGATCTGTCTGGTTCACACTTACCACAGTCCCTGATTCCACAGCTTTATTCTTCCCACATGTGCCAGGAAAGCAAATATCTTTCTGTGGACAGGCTGTTGAGGATCTGTGGTGCCAATTGATAGAACTTCTATCCATCCATTAATTCACCCTAACTGATTCACACCTTCCCATCTGAGGCATTCACTGATAGACCAGTTTAGAGAGAAAGAAAGAAAACAGCACTTCATCATTCTTGTCACTTACACTAGAAGAGAAAGGTAGTAAAACTCTTGTCAAGTTTACCTGGAGAAGGAAGGAAGGAAGGAAGGAAGGAAGGAAGGAAGGAAGGAAGGAAGGAAGG